GGAGTCGCCCCCTGGTGGACACTAGAGAGAATGCAGCTTTGACACATGAAGCTCCGACTTCACTTTTCACAACCGAGGTTTCGCCATGATTGACTCGTGTACCAAATATCAACAGTTTTCCAGTAGTCCACCTCCTTTTTGAGCTCAAAGACATACGAACCAGTGAGATTTAGTTCACCTGTACCTTTCACACAAAACCAAACAATACTGCCATAAACATTTAATAAGGTCTCATGGAGGACACCAGAAGGGGCGGGGCTTCACCCCTCTACAGCTGGATTGTTTCCTTGCTTCAATCCCCTTTTTGTTAAGTACACAAAGGATCACAGACAGGATGGTGAACATGAGACCAGTGTGTCACTTTACTCATGTCACATTACAGGAAATGCAAACGTCCGTCGTGCACACGATCTTCCATCAAACACGATACTAAACATTTCATTAATGTCATCACATTGTCCTTTTTTAGTCCCTCATCCTCGTCCTCATCGTCATCATCATCCTCATCAATGAGCGCCCTTCTGCACCATCTGGGTGAAGCGGTTGGTGATGGTCAGGGTGGTGTCAATGAAGCGCTCCACACAGTTCACCAGACACGTCTCCGTCCGGTGGTCCAGCTTGGAGCCCGGACTGTCCACACACTTGTCCCAGCAGACGTCCGTGAACGTGTGCACCTGGAATAAACAGAAGAAAACTGATTTCATATATTGTTGTATGATGAATACGTCTTCGGTGGATTTTTAATTTTGAACAGATTGCAGAAACAACCTTTTTAGACCGTGTTATGTTTGGATGAATAGTTTGCTTTATCGTGATCACTGACTGGAGCTGGAGCTCGACCCATACTGGATCAGATAGAGGCCGTTACTTTACCTTATTGAGCGTTTTAAAGAAGGATACATGAGTCGATATTTTGTTTTTAACATAAATGTGTAACAAAAACAAACAAGTATACATACACACATATGTATATGATGTGTACATGTATACATATGTGTGCATATGTGTGTATGTATACACACGACAGTCCATTAGAATACAGGTGTTAAGTTAGTAAATTAAATAATAATTAATGTAATACACACTAATGATAATAAACTAACTTTCTAATGGGACTGTTTGCTTCAGTGCAGAAAAAAAAATGAAAACTCGTATATTATTGTTAGTCGAAAATCAAATAAACCTTGAATTATAAGACCTTCCAGTAGGAAGCATAGTTAGCACAGTTAGCATAGCTTGCACAGTTAGCATAGTTAGCATACGAACCTGGGCCTGGAACTGCGCTTTCTGTTGCTCTATCGCGATCATACGCTGGAGCTCCGTCGCCTCTGCTTTGTCCGACGCGCTGAAATTATCAAACCCGTCCATAGTGCCTGTCAAACGGCCACAGTAGACCCGTGTTATGCCCTGACCTTCGGCTTCAAACCGCGAGTGTAAGCGCAGCCTGTCAGACTACCGCTGATCAACGCGACGCACGGCGACGGCGCCTCCCTATGACGTTTTGTAAATCGACGTACTAGACGTAACGCAGCACGTGGCGCTCACAAAGATGTTTTATGGTAAACAGGAGCTGCTTCAAAAGAAAAATATTTAATTTATTTAATATTTTATCGGTTAGTCATTTTTTGTAACCAACATCTGATTATTATTATTTTATTTTACCATCTTGTTATCTTGATAATAACAATAATCATCATATAAATCATAATAATAACAATACATTTTATTTTTGAAATGCAATACAACCCAAAATTACACACATATCGTAGACATATATTAATTAAATATAATATATAGTAATGTTAATTTGAGGTAGTAAACTGTGAGATGATTCAAATGGGAACCACTGTTTTAAAATCATGTTTTATTTTATTTTACCATCTTGTTCCCCTTGGTGCTTACTATACTCGTTGTGATAATAACAATAATCATCATATAAATCATAATAATAATAATAATACATTTTATTTGTATAGCGCTTTAAAAGGTACTCAAAGGCACTTTATATGGTAAAAACAGAAAGAATAAAGGCAATAACAATATATATATATATATACATATATAAACAAGGCAGATAGATTACATTATAATATATATATTTTTGAAATGCAATACAACCCAAAATTACACACATATCGTAGACATATATTAATTAAACATAATATATAGTAATGTTAATTTGAGGTAGTAAACTGTGGGATGATTCAAATTGGAACCAGTTTTTAAATCATGTTTTATTTTATTTTTTAAAATAATATCATCTGAGTTTTTGGGGAAGGCCCATATTAAAGATTAAAAATTAATTTATTAATTTACTTAATGTATGTATACATTAATTAAATATAGTATATCGTAATTTTAATTAATTAATTTTAAAGTGAATTATGTTAATTTGAGGTTATAATAAACTGCTCCTTTTTAATCATGGTTTTATTTATTTATTTATTTTATAATAATGTCATGTGAGAGTTTTTGGGGAAGGCCCATGTTAAACATTAAGATATTAACTGACTTAATTCGAGATACTTGAATAAAACCCGTTAAACGGTGTTAGTGATCTTCTCAAACATCCGCCATCTTTGCTCCACTGACGACGCGTCACAACAACCACATCCGGGTAACTGTGGTTAACCTTGGTTGGCGGATAATCATGGCGGCCATCGTTCGGTTGAGTTCTGTGTGTCGCAGAGGAGTCAAACGTGAGTACTTCTGTCTGTTTTCAGCAGGTTTTTACGCTCTTTCTTCTTAACGTACATGTACTTTAATGAGACAGTTGGAGAGCAGGACGTTTCGACAGCAGAGAAGCCGATTATTAGCTGTGTACGTAGGAACAAAAGCACGTCTAGGGGAGACGAACTGCTGCTTTCAAGATCACGACTTCAGCTAACAAGCGTTCTTATAACGTGACGTAGAGACGCAGACCTGAAAAAACAAGTCAAAAAATAGTGAATTTTAAAGTAAACACTCTTTTACGATGAAATAGGACACGGTAAAACATTAAAAAGACGTTATTGTGAGATGGCAAGACTTCCGTTTTTAATTCTGCTGATATAAGACGAACCAAACAGAAATATAACGTACTTCAGTTAGTTCATGTGAGGTAAAGAGTGCTCACTACCGCCCCCCTCTGACTGTTTACACGCAGACATTTGGCTCAATGGAAACCAGATTCGGTGGTATAGTTATGTATATTTTCTAGTGAGTAGGTTGTGATGTACTATGATGTCATCAGAGTGTATTATTATTATAATAAAAGGTGATTCCTCGTCTTTCTGTCCTCAGCTCTGTTCTACCAGACCACTCTGTTGGCCCGACCGCTGGTCGTTCCTCACAAGTACCAGGAGCAGCCTCACCAGCTCACTGCAAGGATCCATGCCTCACAGGCTCTCCACGGTCAGTGCTCACTAAGTACTGMATGCAGTATGGGGAGTACTGCATGCAGTATGGGGAGTACTGCATGCAGTATGGGGAGTACTGCATGCAGTATGGGGAGTACTGCATGCAGTATGAGTAGGGACGATGCATAAAGTACTGCATGTGACAGTGATATGTTAAAATGTTCAGACTAATATTAATATTAATATCAACGAACAGGTCAGAGTGTGATTTGTGTCAAACTAAATTACTGTTATTGATTCGCTGTAGTTGTGTTTCCTGTAGAGAGTCTTTGTAGCTCTGTGTTCGACGTGGACCTGGTGTCTGTGGTCTCTGTGGTTCAGGTCTGAGCTCTTGTGGTCCACAGTTGGCAGCTCAAACACTGAGAGGTTCATGTGCTGTCAGGTCTCACCAGCTGTTAGTGGGTATTTTAAATCATGACGGAAACACAAATGTATCCGTTAAATACACAGCTGTGCTTCTCAGTCCTCTGTATTTATTTATGTCTTCATTTGACCTGATTAAAACATCTTTAGCTTGTAAAAACTGAACTTGTTAAAGCTAAAAAACAAGTGTTAAAGAATTGTTAAAAACACTTGTTGTGTCACGTTGGCACTAACATTAATACATTTAGTGAATTAAGAACACTTAAATGAATGTCACTAAAAGTCAATACTCTTTGAGGATCGACGAAAGTATGTACACGCACTTATATATAAAATATTAATAATACAACTTCTTCTTTTTAAATAAATAAAGATAATAGAAGAGAAAGAAAGCACCAAACATATAAAACATTTGATGTAGTTTCCAGGGAAAATAATGCAGTTATATATAAAAATAGTAATAATCATAGTTTTTTGTAATAAGAATACAAATTTCAGAATAATAGAACAGTAAACAGTGAATTCACCGAAAAAGAAGAAAAACAATATGAAGTTAAACGTATTGTCTCCCAGCATCTCTAAATTAAAGGACCAGTTTAACACTTTGATTCACTTCATGTCCAGAGTTAGATCATAACATTAATACTATACTATGATAAATATTAGTCTGTTAAATATGAAGCACCAGCCAACAGCTGTGGCCAAGAAGTAGTGAAAGCACACGATTGTGATGTTTTTCATTTCTGCTTTAGTTAATAATAGTTGAGCTTTAGAGGAGCCGTGAGGACAGAACAGCTGCTGAGGCTCCTCCTCCTGTCAAAGTCAAATCAGTTCAAACGATGGAAAGACAAGCAAACAAATCTCCTCCGAGTCCATTTCATGACTCCTCCTCCTGCTCTTCCTCCTCCTCCTCTTCCTCCATCTCCTCTTTTTCCTCTCTTCCTCCTCTGAGACATCTCTGGTTCTTCTTCACGGTATTAACAGTAACTAAATGTGTGTACATGACATGTATCCAGGTAAAGATAACGTACAGTTGTGACCTTGTGCGCTAACTATCTGCTGTTTGTTCTCTCTCTGCAGCAGGCTCCGCCTCCAAGGCCGCCTCTCTGCACTGGACCGGGGAGCGAGCGCTGAGCGTCCTGCTGCTGGCCCTCGGACCCGTCGCCTATTTTCACCCCGTTCCCATCGTCGACTACTCGCTGGCTGCTACTCTGACTCTGCACGGACACTGGTGAGACTCACCTGATATGACTCATATGTAATATAATGTTACTTTTAATATGTGGAATCAACACCTGCCCTCCGTTTCTAAACCACAGCTTTCAGGTTACATAGTTTCCCTTCTGGTTTCCTCTGGTTGAGGTTTGGCCACAGGACGGTCGGGCTAATTCCTCTTCTAGTGGCCGGTTCTGAAGAGTGAAGCCAAGACTGAAGTGTCTTACAGCTGCATTCTCTCTAGTGTCCACCAGGGGGCGACTCCTCTGGTTG